AGTCTCTTCAAGGTAATGATAGACTTGAGTTTTAGCAGATCCCTAGCAATTTCTCTTCCTCTGAAGAGGGTAACAGTGTTTGAGGTATGTTCTTACTCCTAGTGAATTTGTATTTCGTAAATCACCCTGGAAGAAAATGTCCAAAAGTACCTTTAAAAACCTCTGTTGTTCATGCTAGTTCATGGCATTCATTTTCGATCACTTTTTTTTTTCTCTTAAAAGTGCAGATTGCATGTTCTGCAATCTCCACTTTTAATTTGAAGTTGCTGCTTGTCCACTTCATCCACATGGAGCCATGCTTGGGGAAGGAGCCGAACTCCATGTATTCCCCCAGGTGAGCCAACGCTGGTTTGAATATCTGAATGAGTGCCATGCAACTCAACTAGCTGTTGAAGATAGTAAACAAGACTCTATTGTTTTACCTTCTGCTATTACGAACAGAAATATAAGAATCACGTCATTTTAAAGGTGTTTGACTCCTCAAATTTCAGATCTTCCACAAGTTGAGAGTATCTAGAAAGATTTATCCAAATACATAATATTTTTGATGTTGCTGTTTGGATGCTTTATACCAATGAGTAGCTCAGGTAACCATTGATTTAAGAATAGTCAGATTGGTTTCCCAAACTCAGAGTCATCTCCCTGTAACTGAAAATAGAGGATCTGTACAAAAAAATCAAATGTACTGACCGAGTGGTCCAAAAGGCTGAGAGAGTTTGTGTTGTTTCATCTGTTTGTCACAGCTAAAATATTTCACCCATTATACATTTTGCTGCTACATATTTGTAGTATGCACAAAGAATTTGCATCTTTCTGAGAAGTAAGGCTTTTACCACGACAACAATTATATTGCATCGCACCTCTGTGACAAAAACTGGAGGGATTCAGGGCAAATATCATTAGATTTTATGGCATATCTCGAAATTAAATGTGTAATAAAGAAAGATTGTAAATGAATCCCTGTCTCCATCCACTGCTGTTCTTATTGCATTTTTCTTCTTTGTGTCCCAGTCACGATCTGTCGTTTGTATTATCTGACAGCGGTGTTCAATTAGTTTTTATTAATAAAGTTATCACAAAAATAATCAGCATGGCACACCATGAGCTCTGCAGCAACCGGATCATTTAAGATTTGTGAACACAGACAAAACAAAACAGGATGAGAACCATTTGAGGAAAACCACTGCCACCCAGTGGATGACTTGATGAAATGCGTGTTTTTGCAGCGGTTCTGCACCTCCTGGTTGTGCAAAATGTAAAATTGAAGGCAATGATTGACATATTTTATTAGTCACTTATTTGCGTTATTTGAGTTACTTTTTTTTCTTTTTTTTTGAGTTTCAGAGTGAAAAATCAAGCTTTTTCCATCTTCCTCTCATGTGTCATCCATGGCAACACTTAGGCTGTTCCCAGCTCCTTTGGCTGCTTCTGTCAGAGGTTAATTGGCAGCTCACTGAAAGCCCTAAGAGTTGCTCAGGTGTGTTTGGATTAGTGAGGAAACCTGGCAACCATTAGATGCCTTCCTCCCTTTATCGCTCTGACTTCTTGAAGGCAGTATGCTAATCCATAAACACTTCAGCTTCCACCTGCCAACCCTCATTATTTTCATGCTATTTCAGTAATGAAAAGCGTAAGGCAGCTCACTGCCAATGTAATGCTTTTATAACCCACACTGAACCTACAGTTGCATCTCATTAATTATATATATATATATATATATATGCATATCACAATTACAGAGATGAACTCGCAGACCGGTTCAAATCCAATCCAAGAAATCAGATTTTGGATTTTCTTGCGTCAATGTTGGTGTCCCCGACGACAAATGATGATGAAACTGCTGTTTCATGGTACAGCAAAATTCTGATTGTGGCGTTATTATGTAAAAGATTTCTATGAGTCTGATCCAAAAGTGAATACGCTTTCTGCTTATTATTGAGAAATGAGCAAAAGAGTACAACAAAGCACTCACACTGAACCTACAGTTGCATCTCATTAATTTAAAATATATTTGATTATGCATACGATGCAAAAAAGTGAACTGGTATGTAAATCAATTACACTATGATATATTTGAGTTAATTTTGATGATCACAGGTCACAGCTAGTAAAAAAAATTTTAAAAAATCTTCAATCCAGTTTTAGAATATTGCATAAGATCTATTAAAAAGGAGATTTACTGTAGAAATGTTAGTTTGTTAAACAACATGTCCAAGCACAGCATATGCACTAAATTCTTCTTTGTGGTTCCTTTAGCATGAATTACTGCATCATTGCAGCACAGGTTCTGCAATGTTAGCTCATGCAATTCTCATCCTTTGTTGACTACATTTCACTGCTTCTCCCTGGGTTTCACTGTCGGTCTGGTCAGATTGCTGTTGAAGGAAGTTTTGGTACTTTTGTTCATTTGGGCAGGTGCCAACCCCTGCTGGGAAATGAAGCTGGCATCTTACTAACGCTTGTTAGCAGAAGGAGGCATACACAGCCCTTAGCATTTCCTGGCAAATCGCTGTTCTTACATTAGAGCTTACAAAACACAGTAGACTAGCTGATGAAAAAAAAAAAAGAAACACCAGCAGATGACAAGATTTTCCTTCTCTGACAGTAGAAACTTAACACTGGTCTGATACTCTTCCTACTGACTCTGGGATCTTGATTTGAAAAAGCAATGCAAATTTGCTTGCATACAAAAAGAGAACATTTGAGCACTGAACAACATTCCTTTCTTTTGTCCGACGCCCAGCTGCTGGTGCCTCAGAGGAGTGGTCTAATGCAAGGAATGTCAAATTGCAGCCGATCTTTATCTCATTAATGTCCCTGAAACTGTAAATGGATTTTGGTTCAAATTCCTTTCAAGTTTGCAGTTATCCCGGCTGCTTGTGCATTTCTATCCACACCTTTTCCTTCCACTCAATTTTCCATTAACTTTCTTCATCTGCCAACTTCTTAAGTTAAACCTATAGCACTATGCGTAGTGAACTTATTAAATCTGAATTTTTCATTTTTAATGTAATAATTAATTTTTTTATTTTATCGTTTTCATTTAGATCTGAGCCTGTTGAGGGTAGCAGCACGTCAACATGTGTGTCAGGAGTCAGTTTTGACGTCGTCCACATCAGGGATGCCAAATTCATTTTCATCTCGAGACTTATCAGGATCATGAATGTCCTCACAGGGGCTGGTTGTATCAGTAAAGCAAACCAACTATTAAAATATGAATAAACAGCTGTCTCTGAATTCAATGAATACTTCTTAAAGTGAAATATATTTTGACAATGTCATACGGCAGTATGCAGATAAAAACTTCTTTGATTCAACTCATAACTATTATTTAAGCACAGAACTATTATCTTGTGTCCCTTCACAGTCTAGAGGGCCGCATAACAAGCCATGGGGGGCCGTATTTTGCCCCCAGGCCTTGAGTTTGACACATGTGGTCTACAAATTCCAAATTGCCTTCAGCAGACCCAATCAAGCTTTTGAATGAAAAATCCCTGGAATGACAGGTATGACTGAAACTAGAGCTGGTGTGCATGAGTGGTCGAAGTTCGTTTCAGTCTCGCTGAATTATTTGTGAACTGTTAATAGAAACTTCTATGCAAAACCTTCCACTAAATTACCCCAGTACTTCTAACAGCGTTAAGACAAAAAGACACACACAGCCCCAGCCCCCTTTTCTATTCTGTATACCTCAAGTCCCCACCCTCCCTCCACCTCCAAAACTCTTGGATGTTCTTGGCCTTATCTCACTTCTAACTCCATGCATACATACAATTAGCCCCTCCTCCCTTTTTCCTACAGCTCCTGGCTGTTAACATAATCACAATAGTTCAACACAGAGGAGAGGTGAGAAAAAACACAAAAGCCCTCACAGCTATTCTGCTGCCAGTGGTTTCATTTGACCTGCTTTGGCTGAGGTTACCACGGGATTTTGCTCTTTTCAGTTGTGCTTCACATTTTGTTTTCCACTTATGATTTTAACGGGGAAGGGTTTTCACTGCTCTTCTTTATTTGTCAAAATAAATCAAATATACTGCACCTTTGCAACTAAAACACTCAGATTCAAAACTTAAACGTATGTTATAGCCTCTTGCCTAAAGAAGTAAATGAAAAGTAATAAAGATTCAGTTATGTTAATGCATGCTGACTGTTTATTGGCAAACAGCTGAAGATTACATACCACTCATCCAGCCATCAAAAATGTATGTCAGTGGTTTGGACATGCAATGAACACAACAAAATAAATCAACTATCAAATGACATAATTCAAGTTTAATGGACTGGCTCATTTTAAAACAGAAAACATCCATCTGTGGAAAGACCAGCACAAAAATGTAGCTTATACAGACAAATCTTTCACACTTCATGTGAAATAGGTAGTTTTAAAATGCTACAAAGTAGAAAAAAAAATAAAACATCAACTACAGTCAGATTCAAGTTTCTTCCCCTCTAAAAACAGATTGAAACCACGTAACAAGATTAAGATTGTGCATAATGGTTAATGTTATACATTCAGTACTGTTGATGGGCATCATTTCAGGGCAAATCTAGTGTGACAAAACCAAGTGAGGGTTTCCTAAAAAACAGGCATTTCAAACAACAAAAACTTAAGAAAAAGGCGCTAATCTTCCACACACCATGTGAACGCTAGCATTCTGCATCTTCAAGATAAAAATGGGGCTCGGACGTTTGAACAAAGAGGAGTAATCTGCATAAACAAATACAAGCTGCTTTTTAGCTGTAAGGAAACAATCAATTTTCAAACTGCAATTGATGCCGTCAGTTAGAGCTTACATGCAAAACAACAATAAAAAGCTACTTTCAAAAAAAATCCTAAGTACAAAAGTCACATTCTAGAGACCTGAAGAAAAACTGCTTCACAGAAAAAAAAAAATCAAGTAAAATTTAAAAAAAAAAGATGCTGACTAAACGGGCCTGGATTGCCTTTTGCCTTCAGTGGCAAAATGTGGAGTTTTAACAGACCCGCAACTTGGTTTCTCTACACACGTGCAAATGTCCAGGAGGTCGAAATGATCCAAGACAAGGCTAAGCCAATTTACTTAGCAGGGATTTAACACTGCAGGTAGTTTAGATTACTTCAAGCTTACACCGATTTACCCATGAACCAGTGACACGCCATGATACAAAGCTCGCTTCCACATGTAGTATGTTGAGCGTGCGGTGAATGGGAAGTGGGATCGAAATTCTTTGAATGTGGGGAAGGACTTCTCCTCGAAACGCTGCTGAAGGAACAGCTTGGCTTTGGCCTTGAAGTTGGCGAGAGCTACGACATCCACTGACAACATCTGCTCCTCTGTGGGCACCCTGCTGGGGAAGGGATGCTTTAGCTGCGGGGCGTCGAAAGAAGGCACGGCAGAACATTCCAGGTACTGTGGGATTTGGACAAATGGGAGCCCATCCTGTTTCTCTGTTGTCTTGTTGGCGTTACTTTCTGTGCTCTGTGGGACATTGACCTCTGCAACCTGGGTGGTCATCACCTTCTTTGTCTTGTGGTTTTGGCAGCTACGCCACAGCCAATAGAAGCACGAGGAGATGGAGGGGAACTTGAGCTTGAATTTTGTCAAGGACCAGTTAGACTTCTGAACATACAACTTTGCAGCTTCTCTTAACTGCTTGTTACTCAGATAAGCCAGCCTGAATCTTCTGTGCTTCTGTCCCCAGACCCTCAACTTCGGCACGGTGGGTTGAGTAAAGCCAGGCAGCATCAGCACCTGACCTTTTGGGCTCTCGCTCTTGTCGGCATCTGAACTGTCTTCACTGCTCCCGCCGGTGCCTTTGTATCCCCGATTGAATAGCAGGGCTTCTCTTCTCCAGTTGTAGTAGGTTGATCGTGAAATTCCTGGGAAGTTTCTCTTGAATATCCTGAAGGGGAAGGAAGTGTTCATGGCAATGCAGTTCTGCAGGCAGCGTTTAGCTTCCTGCATGTGTGCTACATTCTGAGCCCTCTCCGCATCCAGCTTGCCCAGATGAAGGCCGAACATGCTGGCCACGCTGTCATGGTGGTCTGGCTCGTCTTGCTTAGTTTCGGGTGAGGACCACACCTCCTGCTCTGTGCTCTCTCCAGGACTAATCTCTCCAGTCGAGGAGGATGTGGAGAAATGCCCCCCGGTTTTCAAGAGCTCTTGCTTCCAGTTGTAGTACGATGACCTTGAGATATCTGGGAAGAATTCCTTAAACTGGTGCAGAGGAATGAGCTTGCCCTCCAAGAAGCAGGCCTGGAGGAAGTATTTTGCCTCATACCTGGCTGCGGACTTTTTGCAGTTTTCCTGCGTCTGCCTCTTCCAGCGGTAGAAGGTCCTCTTGGTGATGTTGTACTTATCCTTCAGACTTGAGTAGGAAAACTGCGACTTCTGCTTCAGCTGGTCCTTGCTCCTGTGCGGAGACACCATCTCCTCACTTTCAGGGCTTCTGCACATGAGAAGATTTGCTTGAACCAGGGAGACAAAGTATTTGGGCCTGAACAAGGACTCAGACTGCATGTCCCCAGACCACATGATGTGAATGGTTTGTGGCTCCGAGTCTTCAGGCCAGGTTCTTGGGCGTATCAGGCGATTGAAATAGGGTCTGATCTTGAGGTTGAACATGGGGTAGATGGAATAGATGTTGAACCGGAGGACAGATGACAGTGCGTAAACATGCCACATGTTGGCATAGGAGCCAGGAAAGCAGGACGCTTTCACATCTGCATCAAAGATGGCCTCCAGGACGGCTACGGGCAGGTTCAGCATGTCTTCAGACTCTTCAGCACTGAGACTGAATCGAACAGCTTGGAGCATCATCTTAGAATCAATCATCCCTGATAAGTAGTATCTTTTCCACAGCACCATTTCCACCACAGTCCTCACCTGGGAAGGGGAACATCATTAAATCTGATCTTATGAGGCTACAAAAACTCAACAGCAGGTTATATCAGATGCATGTAGTTCTGCACACTAACCTGCAGCTCCAGGCTGAGTCCGGTGTTGCCCACAAGCAGTGTACTTACAGCATCAAACAGCAAGTTGCCTTCTCCATTACAGCTGAGAGGTAGGAGACCCCTCGGTGCATCAGCAGGATACAAAGCATGGGCTGCTTTGTCCACATGCGCCCACTCTGCAAAATCCTGACAGGGGGGTTTGGGGGGCTGAAAAGGAGTGAGGGCCCGCTCTACATCCACAGCCACTCTGGTCACAGCATCCAGGCCGGCGCTTTCTGTGGCCTCCTGGAGCTCTCGCAGGACGGACAGCACAACCTCATTCCTTTGGATCATACCTGCAGGTTTGAGGAGAGCTGCAAGGAGAGTGGAGACAGTATTTCATTGTCAAAATGACAATTTAAGCACCAACTGCAGCACTTTTTTTAATCACTTATCAATGGATTTGAGACAGTCAATTATGCATAGTGAAGGATTCTTTTTCCTTACAACTTTTGTGTCTCTCACAACTAATATTGGCGGCATTGTCTGAAATAAGAAGGTGCAGTTGACCACCACATTTTACTAAACAAACTCATAATCAACAATTTCTATAGACATTGGAAGCACACCCAAAACATTGCAAGAAAAATATGTTTCTATGAAATCCCAACTTTATGACATATATACAATGCTGCTGTGATAAATGCCGTAAATGTTTAAAGATATGACAATGACACCCAGCTATATAGGACCCACAGCTGGAAGAGGATTTTATTCAGCTTAACAGGATAAAACAAAAGTTTTTATAATTAGTAATTACCTTCATAGATGAAAAACTTAAAACTAATCCAGAACTCTTTGTGTCAAATTGAAAACCTGGGTTTTATAATGAATAAAGTTTAGCTTTCCTATCACATCTAAAACATGCAACTAAAAACACATTTTACTACCAGCAGAGCAAATCCAGAGTTTCTCTTTCAGTCCAAACTTTAATAAATGTGTCTATAACCTGAACATATAGAGTGTTGTGATGCTTTGCTTTCTTGTCTTTCTACAAAAATAATAGATTGTAGTCCTGTATACTCAAGAGATTAACATTTATTTTAAAAACCTCCCAGATCCCTGATGATTTCTAATCTAGTGTTTTGATCATACTTAAAGTGAAAACAAAAATCCATATTGAGGCATCATTTTCTTGTTAAGGCCTTGAAGAGTCCTCAACATATAGCTTAGGACTATATAATAGTCCTTGTTCACTTTTGATTTAACTTCATATTGATCAATAGTATTTATTCTTTATTTCATTGATGACCTATATGCCAATACAACAACTTGCTGTGACTAAAAGTTTAGCTTTAAGTCACAATTTATTTCCATTCCTCTTCATCATTTATTATATTAATTTTAACATCCTTGTCCAGGATGATCATCGTCATCATCATTAAAATCATCCTCATTAGAACAACCGAGTTATTTAAGTCCTTCAATTTTCATTTGCATGTTTGGCCTTTAACTCATTTTATTTATTTATTTTTTGTTTGCCTTGTTGAATTTCCTGTCTTCATGTCCTGTTTCATTTTCTTATAAAGCTGTCTGTCTTGCCCCTTGTACATGAAAAGTGCTGAGTCAATAACGACTCATTGATACTTTATGTTTCTCCAATTCTACAGCAAGGCAATCACCGTCGTTTTCATTGCAAAAGCTGCTTACAGTCTGGTTCTTCAATCCGAATCAGTCGGCGCAATTTAACAGGGTTTAAAACATTAGAAAAAAAGAATTTGGTTTCTTACCTGGGCGTCCTGAGACCAACATGAGTCCCAAACAAAGTCTCGCTCAATCTCTTCGGAAGGCGACACCGTTCGACTCGCGGTGATGTGACACTGTGAGCTAGTCCATCAAGCGACTCCGGGGAATCCTGTCCGGGCAGATAGGCGGAACCTCGCATCAGGAAATTGTCAATCGCCGAATCGCATTTTTCTATCCCACTTTTTTTTTTTTTTCAGCCCTTTCTCTCTCTATCTGTGACTGTGAAACGCCTCCCTCCGCCCTCTTCCTTCTCCTCCCCGTGTCTTCACGTTGAACCGGGGTCAATTTCAATGTGAAGTGTTAACAAAAGCCAATGTGTTAAGGGCCAAAGGAATAAGGGGGGGAGGTGGTTGAGTATCGGTGCTTTTATAATTATATCAACTCACTTTTGTTCTTGTTCTGTTTCAGCTGTCAGCAGGTCACTTCCAAGGTTATTTGCCAAGACCCTCAGCAACAGAGTTCACTCACTGCTCGCTTGTGTTCTGTGGCCCTGGTGGAGTTTTTGCCTTCATCAACAAAACAGCAAAGTAGTCATTTATTTAAAAAAAAACATAAATAAAAAAAACTTAAATAGGGAAATGAACTTAAAGAGACTGTGATGCCTGTAACTTTACTAAACTCTAGGTCTGACCAGTCTAAACATACAGTTTTGAAGCTTATCTCAATGTACCAAAATTTGGTGCAAATTTTTAAAGCTTAAAATTAGCACCCAAAAAAAATGCAATTTTATGTGTTTCTACAAGTGTACATATTCGATGGTTCTTCCAGAAGGTTTTTAAAAGCATGGGCCACTTAAAGTCTTGAGAGTCGGAGACCAAAACCAAGAGCCATGATTGAGTTTCAGGAGCATTACTGTGCTGTTAAGACCGCAGCCCACAGTTTAATAGAGGTGACCACTCCCAAATCTGTCAGGTTAGTTTTTTTTTTTCTAAATTGTGCTCCCTGGGTGGTAAGTCATAACTCTCATTAAAAACAGACTCTGCTTCTGTTAGAAACATCAACTCTTATTATCACTGCAAATATGAATAAAAAAAAATCTTACAATTTCTCTAATGTTAGTATTTCTTTCAAACACAGTCTCGAGTTTGTTCTCAGTAGGCTACATAAAAGCCGGTTTGTTGATTAGAAGAGCGAATGTGCAGACGGGGTGTGGGCACGAGCTTTATGGGAGCGAGAGGAAGGCACCTGAGCTCCAGCTCAGAGGGTTTCTCTACTGTATCAGTTTTGACACCTCCTCTCCTGCCTTTTGCAGGATTTCTCTAATCAACGCCTTTTGTTCCACACAGGCACAACAATCCCAGGGACTCTTTCCCCAGCCCCCCACCTCAGATCCTCTCACGCACACATTTACACTCAAAGGGACAGCAGCATTTGGCCCCCGCTGATCGGCCCTCTCCGAGGCCTTGGCGGACAAACTGGTGCATTAGGGTTCAAGGCTTCACTCCAACGTAACATTGAGTCAAGGGACATCAATTTTCAACCCTGCCACAGTTTCTTAATTGTGTTCAGGTTCTAACTTTGACTGGGCCATTTTAATGTGCTTCACTCCAAACCATTGTTGATGCTATTTTGTTTGAGCTGTTGACATGTAAACTCGAAGGTTAACATCAGGCTCAGTCTCAAGTCCTTTGCAGTTTCAAGCACGTATTCTGTTTTTATTACCATCCAAATTCCCACTTATAACCAGCTGCTGAACAAAAGCCTTCCCAGATCATGACACTGCCACCGCTGTGCTTCACCATGGGGATGGTGTTTTCAGAATGATATGGAGAGTTGGTCTTCTGAGGCACATAGCATATGCATGTAGGCCAGCTCATTCTTTATCCTGCCTATTCCCTAATGTTTTCTAACAAACCTATAGATGAGACCTTCATGAATTAAATCATAGATTTATTTACTTTTATTTTAACTTCAAAATAACACTGTGTTTTATGTCAGAGTATCAAAATATTGAGGGCTGAATGCACCACCAAATCAGATTCTTGTTTGTAAAACCTTTTGAAAACCATGAACCTTTCATTCTCCACTTCCCTTTACAATTATGCATCAATTTGTGTCAGATGATCAGTGGAGTTCTGTTAAAAAACGAGCTCAGTCTGCATTGATTCTTCCCTGGCTGTCATCCAAAAGGTTTATGTTCCAGTTATTAATCGAAAGCACCAGAATCTGCTTCTGCATAAATTCATCCAGGCATATATCTTCTGTACCGTTCATCCCATGTTTCTGTCTGAGTTGGCTCTATCGCCTCAACCCCCGCAGATTCCTATCTATAGTCAATCACGCACCTCAGGTGTGTAGATTAGCTGTGCTGCGCTGCACTGTGAACACAGTAGTGGGCTTGCTGGAAGCATTTAAAATGCAAATAGGGCAACACTGGGACCGGCTCCGGCAGTCTCTTACCTGCTGTGGCTGTGTGTGGCTCTGTGCTTGTGTGTGAGCAGGTGTTGTGTGCGTGTGGGCATGCGTGTGTGTGTTTGTGTGTGTGTGTGCGCAGGGGGTTGGAGGGGAAGCAAGTAGATGTGAGCACGGGAGCCAGGAGTGTACTTCATGTTTAAAGATAGTTCAGCATATTTGCTAAAGTGGTTTGTGTTTACCACCGAATGAAACTTGAGCCAAACAGATTGGCAAACAAACGTCTTACTCCTGATTCCTACATACAACGGTAATAGTGAAATCTGTGATTAAAGACCCAGCTCTGAGCAGAGCTCTTTGTGAAATAAGTCCAGCACTTTGCAGTTCATCAGGTTTTACAACAACGCCGCAATCTTTAACCCCACTTTGTTCATTCTTGAACAATAGATTGCTGTCGGGCCAGACTGATCAAATTTGCCTCAAATTTGATCATCCTCAAGTGGCTTGAATGCACCGGCAGCAGGCGAAACCTGATATCATTAGTTTATTGCATTTCTTTTTTGACCTCATCTTCTATGATGGAGTGGTTCAGCATGATCTCTGTGTTTCAGATTGGGCAATGTACTGCTACTTCTAATGCTTGTGAATCAGACACTGAGTACGAAAGGTGCATTCTGTTGGCTTTAATATATACTATTAATGTCATATTAATGTCAATGGTAAAACAAATGTGTTTCTAATTATCTGACATGTTCCAGTGAGCCTGTTTTGAGTGACAGTGATTAGGTTGTGAGCCATTTTTGGTGACATTTCTGGAAACAGTCCCATGTGAATACGAATGGGGTTTTTTTTCAAACAAAATCTATGTACAGTTATGTCTTTTTTATGTGCTACAGTTAAAGGTTAAATACATTCAGGCAGTTAGAGGTCAATTTACTAGAGTGGTCATCATTCAGACCAATTGACTCGTGAAATATATCATTTTGACCTCTGATTTAAAAAAAACCTACAATTTAATCTTCTGAAAAAATAAGTCCCATAATAAATGCCTGTTGGTGTTCAGTTAAAGTTGAGTATGTTCACATCTCATCAGAGTTTAAGTGAGAGACGTTGAAACAAATGTTTTCCACTTGTTTTAACTCTGAAAACAACAAACAAAATCATGACATCCAAGAAACACAGGAAAAGTTCAATCTGTAAAATGCAACTACTATCTCAGATTACATGTGTTTTCTTCAATTTGCAAACCATCAAAAGTGTATTTAGTTGACAGTATAAGAACAAAGGTTAAAAAAATAATCATTTCAATTTTTCTGAATACTCCTTTATCTGTCTTTTTCTAAGGATTTCCAAACAATATCTACAGGACCATGTTTTCTCTGAGCAACACTCTGAACAACCTTCAACTGTGCTGATCAGCATTCAGCTGTTCTCTCAGGATGACAGCCAACTGCTTTCAAAAAGGCGTTTATATCCTAGAGGGTTTCTTCTTTATTCTGTCTGAGAGGTTGACCTTCGGACACAAAACAGGATGATATGGAGGCTTGCATAACCCGAGAGAGGACTCTGGGGGAGCGTTTCCTGCAATCAAAAGATGTTTTGTTGGTGATGATGTGGCTGTGCAAAAAGATACACCTGATGACAGTTTTTAATTGAGCTTTGCTTTTCATTATGCAAGGATTTTGGTCCCAGAAAACATATCTTTCAACTCACAGAAATAGAGGGCAATAGATGTCAATCAGTTTAAAAATGTGCAATTAAAGAACCTCAAAGAAAATGTGCAGAAGTAAATATTTAGGTGAAAATCCCTTTTTAAAGGTCCCAGATAACATGATATACATATATGTAACTTTTAGATTTAATACGGATTAACATAACCAAATGTAAATAAATACTTAAACTTATAAAGTTATCTTTGCCTTCATTTACAATGCAAATAGCATTACATTTTTGATTTTATGTAGTATTTGAAACTGGTTTTTCATTTTCCATCTTTAATCAGTAGAGGGCGTTCAAGATTTACATATTGTGTAAAAAATACTTTTATGAAAATCTGAAAATCTGCTCTTTAAAGTTCCACTTTATCTAATGAGATTTTGTTTTATTTTGAGATTTGTTTGCTTTTAATGGTAAAAAAAAATCAATCTGCTGTTCACTTTTTCACAGTTTAATTTACTCAACTTTATCAATGAACTTGTTTCAAAGCAAAATTTGTCATAATAGAAAGTCTATTGTATGCAATTGTTTCATGCAGTAGTGACTGCAGGATTTACCCCCCATTTCAGGTTTCTGCTTATTCCGGCAGGTTAAGCAGGCCCAGCTGGTTTCAGGGCCTCTTGGCCAATTGGGCAGAATGTGTGCTGCAGCTTTGTGGTGCTGTGATGGAGGAGGAGTTGTTTGCTGGAGACCCAGTTATTTTGTTGTTATTCTCCTGTTTCTTTTCCTTTAGATTCTCATCTTCACATTTAAGATTTCTTTAGATCATTTTTTTTAAAGGAATGATCTAAAAAATATCTTATGCATCTGTGTCTGAACCACCAGGAAGTGTGTACAGAACTGAACTGTAGAAACAGTTCAGGTTTGATTCAAGCAAGAAAAGAACAAGTGACACAAGGACTGATAGGACAAACACAAAGAGATGGAAGAATGAAAGGCATATGGAAATATTTAAGGAATGAAGGAAGAAATGGTATCAAAAAAAATGGTGGGAACACAAAATAATAAATCTTTTAAATACACATTTGTCCATAGTTTGTTTTAGTATGAAATGAATGTTGAAATAAAAGCCACACAAAGCTGGTTAATTGTTTTTATTCTCTTTCAGAGACAAACAGGTTCTGCGTGACAAAAATATGTCATCAGTGTCTAATAAAACATCTGCAAGAGGGAGCTCAAACTGACCAAAATCATTCATAGAAAACTATATGCCGTACTTGAAAATAAGTCTCATATTTTACTATTTAATCCTATACATATTGCTTCTCTCACATCGGCTGGATTGGCTCTGTCATTATTGTGACAACACTTATATAGCATTGTCACAGAGGTGGAAATAAGAAGAAACTGCTTTCTTCGTTGTCCTTTAAAACAATGAGCTGGGATTCAAAAACAAGCATTTTCACAGCATTTAAGAAAATTAAATAATAAAATTTTTACTTGGAGGTCAGAAATTTCCAAAATAATGTACAAATATTCACATCTCCCTCCAGGACCACCTGCGTGTGAATGCAAGTCACTTACATTCAACATCCTTGAGGTTTTAGTGCAGCTGGGACTTTCTAATCTCCAAACAGAAGTGTTTCACACACAGGTGGCAGCAGTGCTTTTACATTTCATAAACCATACAAATTCAAACAACCTTTTCAGCAAGCAGATTGTCCATCAATCTGACAGTCACACTGGCCTGCCTTTTAAAAAGGAAAATGTCTTCATTCTGAATACAAACAATAATTTATGCAACAGTAGGCACACAAAGAAAGAAGTCAGTTGCTATCCTTCAATCAAACTTTCAGGTGCTTGTTACAGATCAAAAACTGCCATGAGATTTAATCTCTGATCCAGATAAAGTGCAGCAGTTTTGTATAGCTGAAAATTCAAACTTCAAGTACTTTTTATTTTTTGAGTTGGCGTTCCCTGCCTTTGCAGATTATGTCATGACCCCAAACAGAACTATGTTTGAGCCAACAGGAATGACTTTTAAGAGCCTTTAAATACAGAAAACTTCCAAAATAAGGGCTTACTGCATACATTTGCATGTATTATTTCTTTGATGTGTCTTAGAATCAAACTCTGACAACATTCTTTCCTTTGGCTTGCATGCAAACTGCAAAAAGCAGGAAATTAACACTGTCCACCACCTTGAACACAGCACCCCATTGAAACATGGTGGCAGCAGCAGCATGCTGCGGGGAACAGAATCCTGTCAAAACTGAGACGGACATACAGAAGAATTAAAAAAAAAAAGCAACACTTTTCAAAGTTAGAAAGGTAAGAGATCAAAAAACTAGTGCATTTGTTATTTGTCCTGATGAAGAGGACTGGAAATCCTTAAAATAAAGAGAAATCTCCAATGGCACCCAAACAATCCTCTTAAAATGATTTATAATGAGTAATTGTGACTTCCAGTTTCTCCAGGGTATAAATATGAGATGTAGAGGGAAAGACCAAATAAAATGCAACTCAAGTAACATGCATGCATGTTCATCTGCAGATCAGAAAAAGTGTGCAAGAACTAAAAAAATAAATAAATAAAAGAATAAAATTAAATTATTAATTTAATTTAAAAAAAAACTGTGATAATCAAAACCGAGCATCCATAACAACCATTTTCTTTAAGGCTTCTCTGCACATCTTTAGCACAGTTACCAACAACAAATAAATACACAAATATGTGTGCGACCTTTAAACTGTAGACATACTGAGCAAGATGAAAAAAGAAAAAAATAGATATGGACAGTCCATTGTTCCACATGTCACATCTGGACCTTCGGTACAGCATCTGAATTACAGTAAGAAATCTTCACATTTTCTGGAAGAACAAAACAAAAAATGTCACAAACACCAAATATCTACAGAAATCAAAACAAATTCTGAAGGGTCGCTTATACCATGTGGGATATTGTCTACAGTGGATCCTACTGTAGAGTCAGCAGAGACACAGGGATGATGATGATGATGATGATGATGATGATGATGATGATGATGATGATGATGATGATGATGATGATGATGATGATGATGATGATGATGATGATGATGGCGGCGTTCTGGTTAGATAAAAGTAGTTCCGCGCGTTTATTATTTGCTACAGTGTCTCAAAGTTCATGTAAAACTTGAGTGACACCTTGGGCTGGATAAAAACATTCAATAAGGCAGGAAAATGTTTCCAAAAATAGAAAAAAAAAAAAAGGTAAAATTATTGGTGTATAGACACATTGCAAAACACACATCTCAAGATATGCAAAATATATAAGGGACATCAAACTGTACAAACGACCCTGAAACACCATCAAGATTGCGTTTTTTTTTAAGTTTATAAGAATAGAAGCTACACATCTGTTACATATATATCTCTAATCTCATTAGAGGTGACTTTATTCTGTTTGTTTCTTAATTTCTGGAGTTACAAACAGGAACATAAGTTAACAAAAATAAAATGCATCTCATTCTCCCTTCTTCAAAAGAGTGCTTATTTGTACGAGATATTCCAAGACTCACAGCTGGGAATGTCTGATCTACAGTAACAGAGTCATAGAGCATTGATGGGTCTTTCACTTGACATTTCATGCATTTCTAAAGTGCCTCTAACCTGTATCTCTGCAGATACAGGTTAGAGGCCCTCCTCCTCTCCGCGGGCGTACATCAGCACCAGGGTGACAGTAGCGAAGGTGGTTGCGTTCACAGGGAAGGCTCGTAGCAGCGTGGAGGTGAGGCCTCGTGTGAACACCATGTAACCCTCCTTCCTCACGCTCTTTCGCACGCAATCTGCGATGCTGCTATACTGGTTGACTCCGCCCACCCCGTCCGCCTGCAGCCGAGATTTAATCACATCTACGGGATAAGTGACGATCCACGAGGCGATGCCGGCCATGCCGCCGGAAAACATCAGTTTGGGGACCATGAAGCTGTCGTTGGGCTCACAGCCCAGGCTCTGTGTCAGCATGGCGTAGCTCCAGAAATACACGCCGAAGCCAGGCGCTTCACGGACGAGCGTGGTGACCATTCCTCTGAAGATGCCCGACAGACCCTCTCGTCTGTAGATGTGCAACAAACAATCCATGGAGTTCTTGTACACCTTCTTAGAAGACGACTTCTTCTGCCCGGTGCCCTGCATTTGCATACGGGTTTTAGCGAGCTCCATGGGGCAGCAGATGACGCACTGTAAGGTTCCTGCGGCGGCACCAGCCAGAAATTGGTGTGCGGGAGTGTCCTCTCCAAGCAGACGCATGGCGTTGCCCTGAACACCAAAAACTATGGCATTGATGAATGTCAGGCCCATCATGGGAGATCCAATGCCTTTATATAAGCCAAACACCTGCAGAAAACATCAGCAGTGACATCAGGAGCTAATCTTGGATCGGATTTTTATCCATGTACTGTTCCTTGCACTTGAAGAACCAAACAATTCAATTTCTGAACACTCCCTATCCTGAACCAGTGAATTCAACTAATTTGAAAACGTTGATAACATTGACATAAAACCTCTGAAATACATATATCTATTATCAAAGCCATGATTGCTTTTCAGTATATTTCATGAGAACCTGAGAAATAAAGTGACCTGAATTGACTTACAGACTCCTGTCTTACGATGGACTGGAAGCAGTGGAACGTTCCACGATAAAGCGGCTTATCGATGCTCTGGACCTGCAGCCTGACCTGGATGAGAAGAGTTTTGCTTTTTAAGTTAACAAAAATACAAAATCTGACTCAAGAGCATAGCGAAACCATTTTACTTGTGATATCTAGATATTATTATAGACTTATTTTAAATATAATGAAATTAGGTTTATTGAGATATACATGTTTTAGTTTTTTTCTTTCTGAAATATATTTAAAGAAAATGCTGCACTTCTTACCTTCACTGTGTCAAACGGGTGTCCAACCAAGACTCCAGCAACACCTAAGGACAACATATCAAACATTTATCGATTTGGAGCGTTTGATTCTAAAGCCATTTCTCTCAGGACGAAATCCTATAAGAAAGAAACACTGAAAAAAAATTAAATAAAAAAATCACTGCGCATTACTTTATATGTCAAATAATATCCAAATAAACTCTCGAGATGTTCATAGAGTGAAAAAATATGAAGAAGTTTAAACAAGTATGAATACTTTGCAAACCATTGTTCATGTAGAGATAAGATTTATTGCTGGCCCCTGATGGTCCTGACTTCACTCTCAGAGTTGATCTTTTGTTAGATTTTTGCCCAGCTTCTGGTAACATTTACAAGCTCTCTTTAGCCTATTCAAGCAATCTGTAGAAGGTAAAACATTTACTGTGGTTTCATTTTTAAGAGTATCACCATGTCCTCCAAGAGCAACATGCTGCGCCCACTGCCAACTCACTGGCCTTCAACACTTTGACTCTGATGATCTGATGAATGGACACTGACCTGAACTCGATGAAGAACTGAGAAAACAAGGGGAGGACGGTGCTTTGTCTGTCACTTTAAGAAAAATGTCCACCAAGAGCATTTCTCCAGGAGTTCAATTTCATTTTTGGCCATTAAAATAACAAATAATTATCAATCCATGGATATAAAGCACTTAATGAAACAGACAGCAGTCATATAAAACTAGATCTAATTTAATGAATATAATCAGTGGTTTCAACCTGCTTTGCCATCAGGAGCAGCTGACAGCCCATAGGATGGAGTCCAGCTGTGGTGACTTACCTCCTATGCATCCAGCTATAAAGTCCATCATCTTTCTGCAGCTTGTTGAGGACGTTATTGTCAGTTATTGCTAATGGCATAAAAAGAAGTTTTAATATAATGCTTTAATCAAATACTGATAACTATTCTGTTAACCTTACTGCACTGATATCTGGATGTGTATTAAAGCTAATGAGCCAACGTTAGCTGACACCGCCAGTTAGCCGACAGAACCGGCGAGCTCGTATTTAATGGGTTACGGACGCATAAATAGCTCCGTTTTCTGATCTCCTGTCCTCTGTTTTCTCAGATTAAGCCCACTAGATGACCTGTACGGCCTCTAAAAACAGCTGTGCTGCCTGATAGCCAAAGCGAATCGTTTCAGTTACAGAGATTTTGTTACAGGAAGCGGTAACTCCAGAGGGGCGGATCTTATTGCACAGGCTAAAGTTTCTGTCCAATCAGAGCGAAGAGAAAACGCCGACACCTCGCTCGAGGCGTATTACTTGTCATCTATTGGCTAACACGTCTACTCTAAGGGACGTGGTCTAGTGATGTTCAATTTGGTTTGAGGTGACTAATAAATTTGGAGCATTTTATTTATTTTACAAACCTATTGCTTTAATGATAAATATTGTGCAACATTTATTTGGAGAGAAAAATAAGTCTCACAATGTTCATGGTCTTGTATTGTAGTAAGTTCTAATGTGAAAACATCTTTCCGCACCGGTTGCGGAAACATGTTTCATACTATTGCGCTTCTACACGGTGTTTTATGGAAATGTGCCAACGTAAAGTACCTTGTAGAATCCCATATGGTGCATTCACAAGTAGATATATTATGAAGTACTTCTAAAAGTTTCTATTTCATAAACAGACAGGCTTAACTGGGACACTTATTCTTTCTGGAAATTTCAGCAAATGTTGCAATCATGTTTACGAGAGAAATGTATCAGGTTAATCAAAATGTAATTTATATTCAATCCCGTTTAGACTGCATCTGGTGAATTACTGTTCAGTAGCAACGCAAACAAACTGAATTCAAAATGCCTGTATCCATATTTTTAGGGATGTGTTGAAATTTATGGGCCTGGTCAGGTTGAACAATTTAGGAAAAACAATTTACAATTTGAAATGATCAGTTATGTCAATTTAAATAGCAGTTTATTCGATTTGGGGTTAATTCAATTTGGATATAAAATGTACGAGCTACCTTGAATGCACCATCAAAGCGTAACCGTAACATACCATTGAGAAGCGCAAATGGTTTAGAAACATCTTGACCCCAGATGTGTGGCACAGGTAGTCAGAACGCTTTCTGTTAATTAACAGCAAATCAGTCAAGGTAACTGGTCCAGTTTCAGTGGACACATGACTCGATCACTGGACAAGATGCACATCGTGAGTTTCTTGTGCCGGTTCCCTGAAGTGGATCAATGTAATCTTGCCACATTGGTTAATGAAGACTGACTATCCCAGCAGATTCCATTCAAGATCAAAAAGAGAAACAATGCTAAATCAAACAAAATCTTTCTCAAATTACAACGTTTCTCACTTAACTTTTATTTACAATAACAAAAACCAAGTCTACAGAAAATGTTATTTTGCAAACTTTCCAACGGTACTTTAAAAACACAACTTGATTTGTCTGGATTTATTTTTCAGTAATGGTAAATAATAATAATTTTAATTTCTCTGAATACTCTCTTATCTATCTTTTTTTCTAAAGATTTCCAAACAATATCTACAGGACCATGTTTTAGATTCACAAATAAGTAAACGCTCTCTGAGCAACACTCTGAACAACCTTCAACTGTGCTGATCAGCATTCAGCTGTTGTCTCCGCTATCTGCTTTCAAAAAGATGCTTACATCTGAGAGGACATCTTCTTTATTCTGTCTTGATAGATTGACCTTCGGATACAAAACAGGATGATCTGGAGGCTTACATAACCTGAGAGAGGACTCTGGGGGAACGTTTCAAGCAGAGCAGCTAATCGAAAGCTGCTGCTGATGGTGTGGCTGTAAAAAAAATATATATATATATCTGGTAACACTTTTCTACAGAATTTTTTTTATTTTTTTTTATTAATGAACAATATATTGTTCCCTTTGCTGTGGTCCATTGCAGCTGCCGTAATATTTAAACTTTTAAAAAGTGACAACAGCTGAACTAATTGGCTTGTTTGTTTGTTTGAATATATATTAATAACAATCATCAAATGGGATGACTTATTTCATGAAGTGTATGAGTCCTGGTTTCTTACATTTTGACAAGCAAATTTTAACAACTATAATTATGTAATATAAAACTATTGGTCTATATAAAACATCAATTTGCTTAGTCCTCTCTTGCATCTTGACAAAAACAAAACCGTTTATCAAGGCGGAAAGCATTGATAAACGTATCAAAATATCAACTATTTTCTCAGCTTTAATTTTCACAGCATTTTACGAAGAAGGAAATTGTGCTGGTCTTCAGAGGTTTTGTGTCAATTCCCTCAGTAGTTTGTGGTGCAGCACCACCACAGGCGACTGGTGGGAAAGAGGTTTCTCACATAGTTTAGATCGTTTGCAGAACCACAGCAGCTGAAAATGGAGCAAAAGTTGCCATTTTGGTTCCCAGGTGTGAAAAAAACCCAGTTGTGATGATGTTCTGAAGCCGGAGTTTAGGAAAGAGAGACAGGCCCAATTTTAAGGAATTGTGTTACCAGGTCAAATTTCTTTTGAATCATATTTGAAAAAGAGAGTATTTTTATAACAACTTCTGTTATTTTATTGCATAACGGCTCGATGGGGTCATTGTGATATACAATGGCAGTATGTGCCAGGAAACTACATAATGCTGATGATTTAAGGTGCCCTCGAAGTCGTCAGGTTAGGGCTTCAGAATACTTGATATGAACAATGTAAAGTGTACACACAATGCTATTTATTCCTTCTGACCATCTAAACAGTTTTTTTTTTACTCTTGTTTAGTAGGAAATATATCAAGTTAATAACAATGTCATTTTTTTTTCAATTCAATTCAGCTTAAACCTTTGCATCTGGTCAATTACTATTCAACAGCAACAAAACAAACTGAATTCAAAATGCCTGAATAGTTGAATCCACATTTCTGTGGATGTTTTGAAATTTACTGACCTGGTCTGATTGAATTTTTTCTGGTGAAAACAAAAAATATATATATTTACAATTTGAAATGGTCAGTGATATCAATTGAAATAGTAGTTTGTTTGATTTGGGGGTTATTTTGATACCAAGTCCGGAGATCGGATTGTAAAATGTAACTTGAATGCAACATTGGCGGGTTAAAAAGTAACCGTAAAATACCGCGAAGAAGCGCAAGTGCTTTTGGAAACATCTCGGCGCCCGATGCGACGCAACACCGGCTGTCACGTAACAGCAAAGCAGTCAAGGTTACGGGTCGAGTTTCGGGGCTCACATGGCTTGATCGCTCGACAAGATGCACATCGTGGACTTCGTGTCCGGATCTGTTGCAGGTAGTGGGTAGAACTAATCTCGCCACGCTGGCTCGGTAGCGTTCAGTGCGGTTGCTACATGGCTAGCTGCTGTCAGTGTGTGATAAACACGTAACGACATTATGCAAAGATCAGATCAGTTATGACTCCACGTCTTTAAAAAAAAAATTAAAAAAACTACTTTCCTTGTGTTTGAGCTTGTTTTAAACCCGTGCAGACATCTGTCAGTCATCATGGAAAATGGAAGAAAAAAAAAAAAAACCTTTGTGCCATTATGTTCCTTTGCATCTGTTTCGTATGATTGCAATGTTTGGGAAAACTGCAAATGAGATCAAGAGCTTGCTCATATGTGTGCTGTCCTTGGTCCAACAGGGGCCTGTGGAGTGACCGTGGGCTTCCCACTGGACACTGTGAAGGTACAGTAACGCTCAGATACAGTCTCTGGTGGCACATGCATGACTTTTACATCATGACTTTTACATCCCAGCTTTTCCATTTTCATGTTATTCTGAACCCTTTTAGGTCAGAATCCAAACTCAGAAGCAGTTCACAGGAGTGTATCAGTGTGTATTGGAGACCATATCAAAAGAAGGGGTATGTATTGACTGGCGTTAATACATAAATACATACATGTATTAACATAAATGTTAATACATTTATGAAGGACTTACATGCAAATCGGTTAAATCCAAGTAGACCTGACAATAACATGGATTTGAAGGTTCTCTGTAGGCCGTTATGAGATTTTCTCTTTGATTACGATTTTTTTTTTTTTTTTTTTTTACTGTATTGCAATATTTACACAAAAATAATATATACATGATGGGTCATAAGTTTCCATACATAGAAAGAATAAACATTTTATGTTGGACACCCGTTTTATTTTTGTGGGACTGTGTGTAATTGCTGCGTGGTTGATCTGCAACATTTCCAGTTTTCTGAAACGTGCAAATAAGTTTTGCCACAGTGTCGTGTGTGATGCTCGCTCCATGTTTTCTGTCAAAGTTTCGTGCAACCAGGCGACTCCTTCCCGATGCGGCCATCAATATGATTTCAATGCTTTGCTCGTTTGTCAAACGCATCTTCTTGGGTGTCTGACATATATAAGAAATACACATTTTACATTCTCCCTGTAGATCCATGAGCAGTACAAATTATTTATTTAAAACCGACAAGCAATAATTGTTGCTTAAGAAAAGAAGCAACAATTATTTTATTCTTGATTGTAATAATTACATTTCCAGTCATACCTTGAGATCTTGGACTTAAAACTAAAAGTGCAAATTTAGTAAACTGAAAAAAAATCTAATTGAAACTCAGGCGTTTTAATTGAACTACTTACACAAGAACCTGCATATTTAAGTAACTAAGTGTCGGAACAAACAAAATGAAGTGAAAGATTTTTATATTTCTTTTCTGTCCGTCGTTCGATCAGGTGCACGGCTTCTTCAAAGGCATGTCGCTTCCCCTGACCACAGTCTCGCTGACGTCCTCAGTGGTGTTTGGCACCTACAGGAACTGCCTGCAGTGCATGAAGCAGGCAAGGGGAGCTGACTGGAGTCCAAACACCAAACTGGAAATCTTCCTGGCTGGGATGACTGGCGGAGTAGCTCAGGTAAGAAAAATAAAAATAAGAACAAAAAAAACAGCTCGTGTCTTATCAATCTTACTAGTATCCTTACACAAACTGAACAAATTTAACTTCATTTTAAGCTTGTGCCTCTGATCTGTTTCCAACAGACGTCAGTCATGTCTCCAGGTGATATAGTTAAAGTACGTCTACAGTGTCAGACAGAGTCGACGAGGGAAGGAGCCAACAAGCTCCGACCAAAGTACCGCGGCCCGGTTCACTGCCTGCTGAGCATCGTCAAAGAAGAGGGACTCAGGGGGCTCTACAGAGGAGCTCTGCCACTCATGCTGAGAGACGCCCCGTCGTACGCCACCTACTTTTTGACTTATGCCACCGTCTCTGAATGGATGTCAGGCGGCAGCAATAAGAAATTACGTGAGTAAAAGGCAGCTTCTTCCAATCCGAGAACCCTATCAAAATGTAGGAAAAAAACAAAAGAGATGTAATGGTATTATTTATTTTGTTCCCCTAAGACTGGACTGGCGTGATGCTGGCTGGAGGAGTGGCAGGAATGGCAGGGTGGTTTGTCGGAACGCCCATGGACGTGATAAAAGCTCGTCTGCAGATGGACGGAGTGCGAGGGCCGAAGCAGTATCAGGGCTTTCTCCACTGCGTCGTGGAGACGGCGAGAGCCGAGGGAGGTGCGGTTTTCTTCAAGAGCTTGGGCATCAACTGCCTGCGCGCATTCCCAGTGAACATGGTGGTGTTTTTCACATACGAGGTTCTCACTGGTTTCCTTCGGACTGAACCGGAAAGTGTCGACTCGCCTCATGTGAGGCTGGAATAGGAAAATCTCCGTTTGACCCAGTGCTAAATATTTAGTTTTCACAAACTAAATATTTAGTTTGTGATCATTTCCACAATGATCACTAAAATTGTTACATATCATGCTTTACACACAAAAAAAAAAAACAGTTATTGTGTTTTTGGGAAATTCCATCAAAGTGTTGCTGTTAACAGATTGTATGTTTCTCTGTCTGGCCACTAGGTGGCATCCTCGACCTGATTGTTACGACATATTCTTTTGCTGTTTACCTGCAGAGCAGAGCATCACATGTCCTCAATCTTCCACTACTTGAAACATATTTAACTTCATTCACAACCATTAAGTGACTTGAATCAGCTGTCACTGTTTGGACAGTTTTAGACGTCCGCCCCTAAACGGGCCATGTGCTTTACTTCCACTGCTTTTTCGCAAACAAAATGTTACAAGTGACTCAAACATATTCAAACTGGCTGCAATAAGTTGAGCTACATTAAAACTAGGAGCGTAGATTCTACTTCAACAGCAAATCTTTCCTCTTTTTTAAGCTGAATAAGGAAATCTGCTGTCTAATCAACGGATTAAACTCATGAATTCATAGTTTCATTTTACCACTGCAGTAATATATTATTAGGTGTAAGGGAACGGACTCTGTTACAAAGGCAGGGGCAAGCCAGGGTTCTTTAAATGTTGGAAATGCGTAACTCGTTATTTATTTTTTATTGCTACAATGAATGTTTATTATGTCTTGTGCAATAAAGCTTGACAATACTTTGTGAGCCTCTTTATTAATGCATCGGAAGAATGCATTGAAGTTTTACACTTCCTTCAAGATGTCAACAAGTAAAAATTGAAATATTTAGCAGGGAAACACTTAGTTTGTCTTTGGAGATTCTGCAGTTATGAATATCAAATATGTTGCAGTCAGAAGGTAAAAGGAGGAGCAGCTGAGCCGTGCCAACAGTCATTAGCAACCATGATGGAAAGAAAAGCGACTGAAGTGCATTCTTCCGGAGTGCATGCTTTCATTTTACTCACCAGCATAGTTAATACATTTATGAAGGATTTTTACTTTGTTAATTGCATATCAAACTAGAGATTTCTCTACTTATGTTGCATGTCTTGTCTGAAGACAACATTTAGGAGTTTAAATGTTAGCCTCTGAGCTTCAGCTATGGATTAACTCGATCTGTTTTTTTTTTTAATAAAATAGTTAACTAAAACTAGCACTACATCACTTGTCTACAACTATATTGTTTAATTAATAATGCGACAATTTCTCACAGGTATTAACTACCTGTGGACACCCACATCTTGGCAAGTTTGCATCTTTGCCATTCACTCATGATGAGTTGAACTGTCCTCTGTGAGATGCTGAGAACTCGAGACGTCGTCTTATGACCTAACTGTGAGTTAAAGTCCTGTGAGTCGTGTCCCTATGCTTCAAATTCTTTGTGATGGACACACCCAAACATAGCTTTTGTTGTCCTTATCCACTTTACAACAACTCTCCCTGTGTGCTTAGGCTCATCATCCAATTGGAAGACCTTTCGCAAAAACAGGTTCAACTTCCCTCCCGGCTGTTGACCCCTGGATTTTCTTCTGGGGTCAATTTACACATTTATCTCTGAGTCACAGAACTGGTTGGACGTTCCCATTATCTCTATACTCAGGTACAATTGTTTAAGCAGATGAATGAATCGCTTTCAGCCATCTGGATGATGCGCCCATCCAGTCTCCACTCTCTTCCTGATATTTTGGTTTTCTCATTATGCCAATCAAGAAAGTTTTCAAAGTTACGCCATCATTGTCTGGGCTTTCTCCCATTGTTTAGAGATCATTCTGTATGTAAACTTCCGATCGTGATGTTGTTGACACATAAATATTTTTATTGTGGCATTCAGTACACAGAAATAGTTCTGGTGGTCCCAGTTGGCATAAAACAAGAAAGATTTGGATTGATTTAATTGCAGAAAATGAGGAGAAAAAGTTAAATGTGTTATTTTTTCTATTTAATATAAGTAAACTTCTGGTTTCAACTGTAAAATTTTATGGTTTATTTCATGAGAAAATGTAGCCAAATACTTTTTCAAGGGATTTTAATGAGATCAGGAAAAGCTTGCAAATATATCCCTTTATCTAAAGTTAGAGCAAAAAGATAAAGAAAGAAAAAGAGGTTTCAAACGACTGAACAAACAAGGCTGGACATGGAGCCATGTTAATTTTGCACAGTGAGGATGATGAAATTATGAGATAATGTTGCTGCAGTGGGATGGGAATCCACTTCAAGGCTCCCTTACATCCCAACCAGGAGAACAACACATTTGAGGGGATGTTGAGCTGAGGCTTCAAGTTATCTTAGGACTTCACAGTTGAAGAGTATCACATCAGTTTCAGCTTTCCTAAAACCATCCGTCATCTTTTCATGCGTCTCCCAAACTAAGACAGAAAGACAAACAACCCTGTTGTTTCCTGAACTCACACTGTAGCACAAGCAACATCAAGGGGACTCCTGGAAACATTTTTAAGAGCTGATTTAATGAAACCGCCATCACTCTGAGCGGCCCACAAACATTATTACTGCAACAAAAACTTCATCTGTCTTTTTGGGGGGATTTTTTATCCTCAGAGAACCCGTGAGAACAGACGTCTCCTGAAATATGTGTTAAAGTGAGGATTTCATCTGTTTTACATCTGTAATTGGCTCATGGTTTATCCCACCCTGGGAGCACTAAAGATCTATTGTAAAGAAGTCAACTGTAATGATTTAATTGAACGACAGATTTACCAAATGGATGAGGTGGGGTCATGTCAGGAGAGAGCCCAGGAGTTCTAGCTCTGGGGCGTCTTTTCTTGGATTAAATGCTGTAAAAGAAAAAACACAAAAAAAACCCCAACACAGTGTCTTTTATGGTTTGTTACTGTGCATATTCAGATTCCTCTTTACACACGTAAAACTCATTAGCCTGACAGTAAGCACGACTTCAAGACATAGCTCACAACTACGAAAGATAATGGTTGCCATCAGTTAATTAGAAGTGACCTAAAAGAGTAATTACATGAGGTTATGTGTAGTTCACAGGCTTTCATGTGCAAGGGTTAATAGTTTGGCCATACATAAAGCGGAACAGGGTCTGCTGAGCTGTGCGCCTTTATTGCAGTTCCAAATCAGTTCTGGGATCCACAAACCAGGCGTCTCCACAATGGGAGACTTGCTGAGTTTCTAGGAACAGCACTGCATACAGTGAAACGGGAAAAACTCGTCAATGTTGTCTTTGTTAGCTGCTTTTAATTAAACCCTCCATGTCTTTTCTCAGGATCCAAAACAGCCCACAATTATACAAGCATCCAGAGATCTCATTCAATAAAGCTGCAGGCTCACTGCTTGTGAAATGACCAGAACTGAGAGACACCTCATTGCTGTTGTTTTTAATAGATTTCTGGTTGCCTTCGATTCCAGGGAATTCAGGAATGGAAAAAAAAAAAAAAGCAGTAATCCTAGACAGGCGACGCTCATGTTTAGATTTTATGCCTGTAATCTTTCTGATTACTGCCATGATATTATCAGAATATGGCTAAAATGCGACATTTTAAATAAGACTGTCTGCTGCATGGGAATGAAAAATGAAATAAAAATAAATTAACATGGTCGGTATGAAATTACAAATATGCAATAAAGTTTGGACAAATTTTTTTACAAGCATTTCTGGTTTCTCTTTGGGTTTAAAGAAACGATTCACGACCCAACATTGAGTTACAGGATCTAAGTGTGGTTTTTAGGGGAAAAGGAAACAGCGAAGGATTCAAAGGAGGAATACCTTTGTGTGCAAAATGTCATCTTCTAAAAAACAAATGGGTTCAGTCATAGTTAAAGGGCTCTTTGACAGACATTGAGAAACATCTAAACAAGCAGTTTTTGATTTTGGCAGGAAAATCTTAAAAATCTTCTTATCTCCAGGGAAGAGAAGAAAAGAAGAAGTTAATCTGAAGTTATGATGATGAGAGTTTTTTATGAAAACAAAACAAACTTCAGTGTACTGTAGGTACCTTCACAACTCTAATAAATTATATCTGAGGAGTTTAAACTATTTATGGGATTGTTCACTGACAGAAACTGATTGCTCCTCCATCTCATGATGCTAAAAGCCATCTTGTCAGTCATTCGTGCAGTATTTGTTTACATTTCTTTTAGTTAGTAGCACATCTATTTTTGTACGTCCCTCTGTTTTTGATACTTTTATAATTATCTAATATTTTGAGCTGCATCCTATACATTTATTTTGTTAAATGTGCTCAGGTTTATCCCAGATGAGCATTTTACCCGATCCTAATTGCCATAAGGCATATGTTATTAGGTCAAGAAAAAACATCTTCATTTGCTCACGGTGCCAGTAATTGAACAATCTGAACATGTTGTAACTCGCAAAAAATGAAAAATGTAAAGACGACACGTCTTTATCTAAATGTTGCAATAAAATAAAATCTTAAATATTTCTTGCGGCTGCCCTACAGTGCGGATGAAGCACACAGCGAATTAATCAATCAGCTCACTTGTGTGGGTGAACCATTGAACTCGTCTTGACCAATTCCTGGAAGGCTTCACCTTGTTATCAGAATTGGGCCTCGGTAACTGCCGCTCGGACCCTGCTTTCCCAATTGCTGTTACGGGCTATTTCGGGAACTCTACGCTCCCCTTTTAGTGACGTGTGCTGCTGGGTAAATCTGCAGCTTCGATAGCCTGGGCCTGCAACCTCAGATGGCATCAACATGAAAAAAGAACGAGGAGGAGGAGAGGGAGGCAGGGAGGTGAAAGAAAAATAACAGCTGACATGATGGATGGAGAGGAACATACATATAATCAAATTTTAATGTGCTTAATAACAACTTAATTCTTGTGCTCAAAATACCTAATGTGTGAAAATATGGTCAGTGATGTTAAAGCAGATATGCCATTTCTTCCACCGATTTTATTGGTAGATAATAACAGGGAAAAGCTTCTAAAAATCACTGAGTTCTGCTGTTTGAGTTTAGCAACTGAATCTGTGAATATGAAGTTTAAAATATCTCACAACAACCCTTTCCAGTTAATTAATAGTGTATTTAAAGAAAACACAAATGCAACCTCATTTACATTTCACTGGTGCCAACAAGCTCTATTTAAAATATTCTTTATGGACCTGTCAATTAATCAATCTGACAATTGTTTTAGTGACATTAAAGTGCTAAAAGAAGTGCTTCCTAAATGCCAGCACATATCAGATAACATTTATCCAAACTAAAGTGATTACAAAGATGATATTTTTTTATTCAGTGAAAACAATTACAAGTTAGAAACATGGTGAATATGAAAGCACTTCCAGACATAAAATAATACTTTATTCACAAGGGTAGTTTGTACATCGATGTTCTCTCTGAGTTTAAGGAATGTGGCAAACAAACAATAGCCACCATTTTTCTTTTTAATTTTTCCACTTCTGATTGGCTGATCAGCACCTTGTGACACCAGGTTCCCCAGAAGAGATTCAGGCAGAAGAAGACTAAGACACTCCATTCTGTTTTTTCTTTTTTTTTTTTTTTTGTAGTTTATTTTTTATGTTGAGTCAGTTTTTCAAATTGAAATGTCCAGGTGGTTTGACATTTTGAATTGCGTTCCTCTGTTTTTGCCTCTCCCAAACTCTCCGCCCCTAAGGCATTAGACCTCAAGATTTCTGAGTGGTCAAAACCTTTTCCATAACTCCTGAGAAAGTAGAAAACTTTTGATCATGTTAAGCTTT